TAGCCGAGAATAGTATGATAAAGTTGGCCACCATTTCCAGCCGTATGGACAGCCATCGATTGGCCGCCACATTGGGGTAGAAACAGGCGTTATTCAGATCCAGTCTGTCATCAGACTCTTTGATGAATTGCTCGTTCACACCGTCTGAATGTTTTATAAATTTAAAAGTTATGTTAATTATAGGCAATAGTTAGACATAAAAGTAATAAACATGTATTACAGGCGCGTATAGTGGCCACACCGGACAGGGTTTCACTGAAATGGGCATAAATTGGAGACTTAGTGATAGATTCGAGTCGTTTTAGTTGTCGTGAAGTTGTTATATAAAATTTCTGGTAATCAATGAAATAGAAATTATTTTTATAATGAAATTCGTATTAAAAAGTTAAGACAAACCTGTATTAAATAGAAAATGATGGCAACCGGGAGAATAATCGATAAAAATATAGGAATCTCTATAAGAAAATTCAACTTTTTTGAGAAATTGGTTTTTAGCAAATCTAATGCAAAATTAATTACCCACGGAAATGATAACTAATGTGGATATAGTGGTAAACCCACAGGTGAGCACAACCCTAAAATTAAAATTATCAGTTTAAAATAATAGAAGTTTTAAGTTTAGTTATTAGCACTTATAAAGTATTACAGTAATACTGTACTACTATATAAGTTATAGAATAAATCTAATTATATTTCAATACTTTCCAGTAATTCACTGTAAATAATAAGAAAAAGTGAAGTGAAGTGAAAACTACAACTTTGTTTCACTTTCACTTCTATCGTAGTGTTTTACAGTACAGTAAAAGTCCATTTCATTTCTACACACCTTATAGTCTGTTGAAGTGTGGCATCACAAGTGTCCACATCTTTACTAAATCTATTGAGTATTCTTCCGAGTGGTGTGGTATCGAAGAAAGACATGGGAGAGTGGAGTATCTGCTCCAACATCTTCTGGTGCAAGGATTTGGCCGCTTTTATGTTGCCCCGAGTCATAGCATACCAGCCGTACGTTACAAACACCGCTTGGATTAGACCCAACACTCCTGTCATAAGAGATTGAGATTAAGAAAATGTTAGATATTTTTGTTGATAACAGATCTGACCATAGATTCCCAGATAATAAGCGGTTCTCGTGTCCCCGCGTTCGGTGGCGTCCGACCACTCGGCTAACCATAGACTGGATCCGGCGACCGATGTCTGCATC